GAATACTTTTTTGTAAATGGATGATTTTTTAAGGTTCATAATGGCATAACTACTTTGTTGACAGACTAAGATCCTTTCAAAGTGTTTTCTTTAAAAATCCAAAATGAACTGATTGATTTAATTGTTTTTTTTTTAAATTTAATTAAATTAAAGAAAGAAAATTGTTTCTTTCGAAACGTTTCGGTTAACTTAAGGAACATCTAAGAGTATCTTCATAGCCTTTTTTTTAGTGACTATATCTTAATTTAAAGAAGCTGTCCTTATAAGAAATTTTCCGTTAAGAAGTTGTTGTTGTGGTGTTTATAGTACTACAAGCACGTGGAAGAGAATATTTTAAGAGGCACCTTTTGGACCTTCTTTCTCATTACTATATTCCAATTCCGGTTAGCTCTGCTATGTCTTTAATTCGCATGATTCGTTTACGGTCTAACACACACGTGACGGTGGGAGTTTCAATGGCCTTAAGGAGCTAATTACCAGTCACAACAGCTAGTTGATTGAAAGAGTGTCTTCTGCCACAACACAAAAATGATATTATCAACAAAGGTGATGGGACATGACTAGCAAAATTTGCCTGTTATTATTTCTTTGCACTTTGATTTTACTATCGATAAGGATGAAGTGCTCAACCAACTTCAGGAAAAAATCTCAGAAATTACTTTTATAACTATTCTGGTTGCAACCAGCTGACATCTCCTCTGACTATTGTGGTAGAGCATAGAACTTTCTCATCCTAATATATAGAATTCTATTAAATATATTCATAAAATTTAATCCGTTTACTTATAATAATTGTGCATTTAAGCGGAACCATTGAATTTACAATTATTGTTAATATTTTGTATTATTAATTTGAGGAATAATTTTAAAGAATTTTATAAGATTAAATTATTCATTTAGTTTTAATAATATTTCTAGCCACTTTAAAAATTTTCAAAATTATTTAAATATATTTCTAATATTTCAAATTAAGGGAGTATGTAATAACCATTGCAACTTCAGGTCTCAACTCCTGAGATCTCATACTACATACTACATTTATTAAGAAATTAAAGTGATCAATTAAAACAATTAAAAGTAGTTGAAATCTCGATAGAATACAATATACTAAAATTGGCAATAATTGCAATATAAATTAAATATTTATTCAAATAAATTCAATTATTATTATTATTAGTGAATGAATTAAAAATGAATTCGTGCAATTTATTTGTGGTTACTTTGTTGGCTGCAAATTAATTCTTTAAGTAATTTAGATAGAAAAATACAATCATAAAACCACATAAAATTTCTCTATTTATATTATTATTTCTTCTTCTACTAATAATTATTTGATTGCATATTAGAAGTGATTTTTTAATTTAATAAATACATAAAACTTCATTGTTTACTTAAATTTGTCTGCCTGAGGATAATTTCTGTTGCTTCGTTATTAATGAAGTTTATTTAAATTTCTGCATAATTATTAACTGAAAGTGTTGTAATAGCATTTGCCTAGAAAACTTTTTACTCTTTAACCTCATTCAAGTGCAAAATCGCTTCCAGCACTTTTGCCAGCTTTAATTACTTACTGTGGAGTATAATTAAAGCAAATTATTTTTCTGCTTGCATTTAAATAATCTTTAAATAAATAAAATAATTTTCATTAATTATAAAACAGCATAGATACATAAATTTATTCAATTTTGTGAATTAATAAAGTTTAGAATGACAATAACTACTACATTGATGTTAATATAATATGGTATATATTGTGGCCTTTAATTTGAAAAAGACAGTAAGGTATAGTTAATTAAATATAGAGAAAATAAAGTTTAACTTTTTTTGCACTAATTAATTAATATGCTTTTATCTATTAATAGAGAGAAATACTCTACAATATTTACAATGGGTTATTATTATTAAAAGAAGGAATTGTAAACTGCGACCTAAAAGATCTATTGTGCCCCTTACTCAGGTTAGAGTGTTTCTCCAAGTCCAATTTCTTTAATGAAAGACAGTATAGAGCCTACCTTTCCTAGTCTTGAATCTTTATCATCCATGAAATACCCTCCTAGGTGTTTCTTCAGCTTGTGCATCAGTGCCGGGCACTCCCCAAGCACATGTTAAGCAGTTTCTCTCTCTTCTCTACAATATCTGCAGTCTGAGTTGGATTGAATTCCATACTTCGATGGGTGATTATTCAATCTGCAGTGACCAGTCAATAATCCCATAATAATTCTTAGATTGTTTTTTGATTGTGCTATGCAATTTTTCAAGGGTTTTAGGTTGTAAGTCCCTAACAGCATTTTAGATTGTGAGAGTCCTGGTTACTTTCTCAATAGAGTTCTCTTTCTTTTTCCTCTGAACCATTCATAAGAATAGATAGAGTTCCTTTGCCTTTGATTGACAAGCAGTCTTTCTCATTTAATATTTTTTTTGATTATAGCCAAACGTCTTATGACATCTGTTATACAAATTACCTGCATATATATTTTATATAAGTTCTTAGTATTTTCATATCTTAATATATAATAAAGTTTCACTTGATACATAATCGTCTGTATAATAGTTTGAGATACAAATTTGCTAAAAACTCTTTTAGACTTATTTATTGCATTATCTTATAATAGAAAGATTTCGAAAAGTAGTGAACTACAACAAAAATTCTTTTTATATTAAATTATCTTATTATAACGAAACTAACATACTACATAAAAAATATTTATTTTAGTAATAGTATTAAGTGATATAAAAAGTATTTGCCATGTTACGGTATATTTTTAAATAAAAATATAAATATGATCGGATAAATGTTACAAAATATATTGGTACCAATGCCTTCTAGTGACAAGAAACACCAGTTACCAGTTAAAAGCTTTATAATTATACAAATATGTAGAACGGCTTGGAGCTAGACTTGACCTACCCTGTGGTATCTCCTGTAATGCGTGTCTACCAGCTCTCGAAGAAAGTACACCAGAACACCTGATGTGTCTATGTCCATGTTTGGTCAGAACTAGGTTTAAGTTTCTGGGGGCCCTCTTCTTCAACACACTCGGCGATATTTCTAGCATTAGCATTGACGAGATTCTTGCCTTTATAAATATCTCTGGCTGGTTCTAGCTTGACCTTCTCTCTAGTACATACTATTACGAGGCTTTGTGGATTCAAAACGTATTTTTTAGCTAATTGAGAAGGACTCGTTGCTCCCTCTACCACAACTAACTAACTAACTATACAATTATATTATAAAATTATAATTGTACAAACTCGTATAATATAATGGCAGGGCACGAGTTTAACCCTTTGTTATTGTAGTTTCAAAAAAATTATTTAAGCATAATTAAATATAAGAAATGGGCACAATAGACCTTACAGTCGCAGTACTACATCTCACATTATTAATGAAATATAAGAAATAATTCGAAGACTACTGATGATGAATATTTGGCAATACTCGAAGCAGCTGTGTGGTTAGCCAAAAACTCAATTAAATAAATAATGTGAAAAGAATATTTGTTGTTGTAGTTCACTACTTTGTCAGAGGTTTTAGAGAAGTTCTAATAAAATTATAGTATGATTTTAGTTTAATTCGGCGCAGTCATAGGATTCGTTTTTATAAAACACAGAAATTAATTTGATAAAATTACAAGAACAATACAAGTCAAGTACGAGGTAGATTCCAGTTCTTAAAGAACATAACTTTGTGCTAGAAATTTAACAGAGCACTGGTTTAGCTTTTTTAGTAAAAAAAATTTGTATAAATATATTAAACGCCTTTAAATAAGCTAGTTCCAAAGACCTTTGTTAATACGTATTTAATAGTTAAATATTATCATACTTAATTATTATAAGAAGTATAAGTATTTTAAGAATTAAGTATTATTATTAAAAGAAGGGATCGTACACTACGGCCTAAAATATCTATTATGCCCCGTAGTCGGGTTAAGTATTATGCCCCGTAGTCGGGTTAAGTATAATACCTCAAAGCACACAAAGCCAAAAAAAAATCAGTTAATTAAAAACAAAACTTTTTTTGTTGCATTTCTTTTTATAGTCCTTTTATTCTTTATGAAATATAAATCATTGCATTTTTTTTTGTTCAAAATAATATTGACTTGCCTTCAAATTATTGAATTTAATTCAAACTTTGAAATTTCGTTACTCATACGCCACGTAGAACAAACAAGATAAGTTAACAAAACTTTAGATTCGTTAATTTGGACAACTTCAATTAGGAAAACAGTTTTTTTTATCAACTTGCAATCAAAGTGCATTGAAAATAAACTTCACCTCACCGCTGATGCACTCGAACTCAGGTAGCAAAACTAATAAAACGGACCTGAAATCAAATGCAAGTGCCGAAAAAATGAAAGCAAATATTTTAGTTGTTGCAACGCGTAAAACTAAAACTGCAACTCGCACTCAAACAAATGAACATTTTCCCTGTGAAGACCACATAAAAGGTTTCTTCTTTTTATTTTTTCAATGGACATTTTAAACTTATATTTGCTTAAATAAAATTGATAGATCGATCCACTTGTGGGCTTGTGTATAGGCGCATCAGCGAGGCATGATATATGTTGCAATTTTTTAAGTGTATATCTACAATCAAGCATACCAACTTAATACCAAATATTGATATGATTAACAGCAAACTTTTGGAAGAGCTCGCACAGATACAAATGCAAACACGGTCATGCATGCAGGATCGCAGGATTGCCGGCTGCATGGCATGCTACATAATACGGATATGAAAACGACACGTCTGTGCCAACAGGCATATTAAAAGTACCAAAAAAAAGTAGTATATCGACCAACGCGAACAAAATGAAAAAAAAACCTGGCACTCAGCCAAATAAAACTTGGTAGATAAATAAACTTGTATGGATAAGTATGCGTCTGTGTTTATTTGTATGTGTACCCGTACATGCGCTCGTATGAAAAAAGCGGAGTATTTGAACAAACTTAATGAAGTAGAAACTCATCGATATGCAGTACGCACATGCACAACTTACCTCAAGGCATACAGGACACTCCAATAATTGGGCAATGTGTTGCAGGCATGTAGCAAACTTTTGCAAGGATTGTTGATTAATGCCGTGATGCTGCAAATAAACAGAAAAACGTATAAACTTTAACGGATGAAATGAATATAAGAAACAAAATATGTTAAACCAATACTTATACTTAAACAATTAATTTAATTAAACTATATATAAACGTTTAAGTTAATAAAATAAATCACATTTGCGATTGACTGCCTATCTTAATAACTCATTTAAATTTCATTAAGGAAATTTCATTTAAATTTATTAAATTCATTATTTAAATTTCTTCATTATTTAAATTTCGTTATTTACACTTCACTTTAAATAAAATTTGACAAACGCCTCTGGCAAATTGGAATTAAATTAAAATTTCACGCCTGTTTGTGCATTACACAAGAAATGTGTAATCAAGTGACGTGTCACTTTTTCGAACCACAAAAACTTGCTCACCTACTTGCATATAAAATTGGACCCAGATAAAATTAACCAAAATTCGTAAAAACCAAAAATGAGCAAATTCAATGAACACACAAATACCAATATGCACTTACTAACACTACTTAACCCACATGAGCCAATTAATAGTGTGTGTTTTACGTATAAACACATACACACAGCATAGCACAGAAACTCACTTAGCTGGAGGAGGAAACGTATGTCCTGCTATATGTTACACAAATACGTAAATGATATATTGGCAACATTGCACTACAATGAGACGAAAGCACGGAAAATGGCATTTGTGGCCTGATAGTCTGTTGGACTAAGCACTGGCAGCTATTCAAAATTGATTGAAAAAGATTTTATTGTGTCAGTAATGCAACAAAACCCCCACCGCAGACAAGCCATTTAAGTTATTTATATAGAGACATGCATTTATGCTGCAAATTGTAGGTTTCTTCATACCATATATATATATGTATGTGTCTACGTGTATGTGTATGGGTGACTATAGGTACCAATGTGTGCTAGTGTAATTTAAACAATTTCTCAAATTTAGGTCAATTAATTAGTAGCAAATCTCTAAGCTTTACTGACTCCATTTTAATTACAATCGAAAATGTTATATATATGTATGAAATATAAGCAACACTAAGCCAACTGAGCCAATTGTGGGAAGTAAAAATATCTGTAAATATCTGACAAATTAAGGCAATTGCGGAATATTAACATTAAATTAGAATCAAAACCGAAATTGAAATTGGAATTGCAAAATGAAATCGAAAGTTTCATTATCATGTAGGAATTTAATGGTATACGTGTATGGACACATATTGGTTGTACTTTTAAATAGGTGAAACCTACTTGTTTCAATGAAAAATAATCACTAATTCTATTACACAGATTACCAGTTAAAGTCAACTTTTTTAGTAGAAAAATAAAATTTACTGATAAATCCTAAACTTATAAAAACAATTTTGTTCTATGGATGAATCAGCAGCGAAGCTTTAATGATGAATTTTATGGATGAGTTTCATTCAGAGAAGCTTTAAAGACGTTAAATAAGTTTCAACGAAAATCAGTGTTCACACTAATTCAACTTAATTAGATTATCAATCAACTGTTATGTTCATTTAGTTTTTGCTCACAATTTGATCATAATGGTAATTTCATTTAGCGAAGCTATGTCCAAGAAAATATATCACTGATGTTTAATAAGTTTAAACGAAAATCAGTGTTCACATTGATTCAACTTAATTAGATTATCAAACAGCTATTATATGTTCATTTAGTTTTTGCTCACAATTTGATCATAATGGTAATTTCATTCAGCGAAGCTATGTCCAAGAAAATGTATCACTGATGTTTAATAAGTTTAAACGAAAATCAGTGTTCACACTGATTCAACTTAATTAGATTATCAAACAGCTGTTATATGTTCATTTAGTTTTTGCTCACAGTTTGATCATAATGATGATTTCATTTCGTGAAACTGTGTCTAAAAAGATATATTAATAACGTTTAAAATGTTTAAACGACAGTCAGTGTTCACACTAATTTAACTTAATTAGATTATCAATCAGCTGTTATGTAAATTTAGTTTTTGCAAGCACTTTAATCATAATAGTAATGTTCAACACATGCTTTAATTGCAATTGTTCGGTATAGTAGATAAACACTCTCAATTTAAACCAATTGTGTGAAACACAGTAGCCGATGTCTGCTGTGCTTAGTACTTAACTGTTAGCTACTGCAGTTTAACCGATCGTTAGCGTCACTTTGAAAAGTATGTGCCAAGATCAAAATAGATGTGGGGATGTCAAACATATACGAGCACAACAATTTCGGAATAAATGAAAGTTATAGAATCAACTCAAAACCTGAACTTGTTCATAAGAAAAGCTAGATTTAAACCAAAAAAAAAAACAAGTTGCCATAAAGTAAGATTCGAAAGATCTATAGAAGCCTAATTCTCCATTAAAAGTTAAGAAGATAAAATAATGTTATCAAAATACATACTTCACTATTAAATTAATTTATAATTTGTCAAAAAGGTTAATGTACTGACTACTAAACATAAAAAAGTCCAAACTAACAAATGCATCTCTGCGTGTGAACTCGTTTAATAAGTTGAACTAGTTTAATATACAACTACACTGACATTTAACTAAAACGGGTTTTCTTAATTCAGTTCTTTCTTGTTATTTTTTTTCGTGATTTTTTTTGTGTTTGTTTCTTTTTTTTGTGTTGACAGCAGACCTAGTCAAAAAGTCTTTAAAAGATACAATTCGTTCTTAACGTTTACATACCGGATTCAAGTACAACTTCTGAAGTCGTACATGCCTACGAACTAAAGTGATATAACATTCACAGTATAGAGGCCTGTGGTTCACTATAGCATATCCAGTTTAAATATTTTTTCACAGAGCAGATTAACCAAATACTTCTCATGTTTTATTCTGTTTGAATACTATGGATTTCACCAGCTTTGACACCGCCTAATATTCCAGTGATAATAGGATCTAAAACTCCACTCTCCAGTAATTGTGGTCATCTGCTTTACCATGGAAGAAACTTGACTACATTGATTACAGTTCCTAGATTTTGTTTAGTATTTAATAATCTTATATACTATCCAATTATGTTTGAATTTTTATTTTATCTGGAATATATTTTAATGGAGATTACTTGTAAATTTAAACTATACTTATTCAAAATTTAGTCAGGAAGATATGCTGGATTTAAAACTATAGTTTAATAAAATCAAATAAAAAACTCATTATCATATTTCAATGAAACACGAGCTAAATCGGTTGGCCGATATAACCCGCATCTGGATTTCTGGACATAGAAACATCGTATGGAACGAGAAAGTTGATAGTTTAGCCCGCTCTGGTGCATCTCTAGATGCGTCACTGGCGGTATCAGTTTATATTACCCTGGAGACCATTAAAAGAAGTACCTTTCTCTACTTTCTGCAAGTTGCCAATAACAGATGGAAAGCACTTAGGTCATGTGCAACTTTCAGGTTAACATGGCCTACCTATAACAAAAATTAATCCTCGGAACTCATCAAAAAAGAGATCGCGTGAACACTGCAAGGCTTACTGCAGTTCTTACAATAATACATTTTCTCTGTGAATGCCCGGCTTTAGCGTCCAGAAAATATAGGTTCTTGGGAAGATATTTTTTTGATAGTTTATCACAGTGTTCATCAGTGAAGATGAAAGACCTACTAAATTATCTAAATTCGGTGGGATGGATTTAGTCTTTACTCTTTTATACTAGGGTTTTTTCGAGGAATGTGGTAGCAAAACGACGAAAAATCGCTAATTGAGATACATTTGAAGTTATCTACTGGCCTGTCACTGCAACGGACCAATCAATGAAACACTTGTTAAGTATTGCTCAACAGTAAGGCGGATCTATTTATTTTTCTTTCTACCATATGGCGAGTCTATAGTCCATTGTGAGTAAAAGTTACCAAGATATCCGGTAACAAGTTATATATAACAGTTATTAAAATTTCTTTCAGAGGCATGAAATAAATTTTTAACTCATTTCATTATAAATATATATTTTAAACCACTTTTCTTTGTTTACGGAACTACTCTAAAGACATATATTTTGTGCTAGTGAATGTGTGATATTTTCTCGTCTTATCAAATACTAAAAAAGCTGATTATGTAATTGCTCTATAATTTGACACACATAAACAATATTTATTAGTTAATCAAACACGCTATTCAGCTGCACTCTTGCGTGCTAGCGTCAAGCATGCATGATGCAGCCGTGTTTGACTGCACACTAATTAAATGAGCCGCAGCGTTTCTTTTAAAATAGCGACAACTTTTAAAATACAATTAAAAGCTACTACCACAATTACTGATTAACTGCAACACTTACCGCATTGCCGTCTTCGCAATCATCCTCACCACCGTTATCGACATCATCTTCATACTCCACCACCTCACCATTTGCTGTCAAGCCAACTGTTGTATTGGATTTGTTGCGCCATATAACCACAGTTACATAACTGGCACCACTTTGCCAATGTTCCTGCAGACGAGCTGCAATCTCAAAAATTTTCTGGCCCAAAACATCACAGCCATTAAACTCCAAAACCGTATCACCTGTGCGTAAGCCAGCACGATAAGCGCTAGAACCTTTCTGCACATTACTAACCCATGGGTATGGGTCCCAAGGTGCGCGACTCAAATGCAGACCAAGTGTGCCATTAATGCAGCCATATATTTTGCAAAGCTTTAACATAGCCAAAGAATTTATTATGTGCCTGAAGGTACGCTTTATTTAGCAGGAAAGGGACTTAGGTGTGACAGCCGTGATGAAAAGCTGTAAGAATAAAAAACAAATAAATTAATATAAAGTATTTATTTTGCCAATAATAAAAAACAATATTATCTGCACGTATTTATCACTTTTCATATGAAATTATTTTCATCTCTGCATTAAATTTTTGACAATTGAATTTATTTCGGCACAATTTTATTACCACAGCTGCAATTATTTGTCTTAGTAGGTCAAAAACTCCATTAAGTTGGCTTAGTTGGCAGTTATAATTTTCAAGGTCACGCTAAAACATTATCTTTTGCAAACGTTTTACAAGAGTTATAAGTATTTTCACCTTTTGTCGAAAAAACCAGTAAGCGGTTTTTATTCGCAATGGATGTATCTTTATTTTCCCCGACTGTCGCGCATGAAAAGGCAGCAAATTAATGACGACAATCACGTGTGTTTCACTCCTAATGCGCATAAACAATATGTATCTCAGCATAGAATAATAACAACAACAACAATAATAATAATAACGACTAGAAAAACAGAAAATAAATCCTTCACCTACAAACATTTTTTTGTCGGCAAAATAATTGGACACAAATCAAAGGTAGTTTCAGACATTGCTCATCGCATTTCTATGCGACTTAAGCTGCTATAAAAATAGTATATTATGAAGATACCCGTATACTATATGCAAACCTTATATTAATGATTTCATTCGCATGACAGTCACGTTGCTACTGTCATCGCCTCCAACTCAGGGCCCACTTACGTATGCTTAACGCGTCAGGCCGCGTGTCATTGGCATCAATTCGTAATTAATTTGCAAGACAAAATGTACGCAGCTGGTTGCCAATTTTGTTGACCTTTCGTAACAATTAGATTAGGTGGCCTCCCTTCTACACTAAGCCAAGAAACAGCCTATGAGCGCAGTACTTGGACTTCTATATTGAAATGTGTACTCCATATGTGTTAACAGAAATCAGTTTATCCAATTAATTGGCATTGCATAATTTACCATAACATTATCGACATTAATATGCCAGGATGTAGGAATTTGTTGTGGGAAGTGAATGGAATATATGTATTTTGCGGTTAAAATCTACTTAAATATATTTGGACTTTAAGACTTTTGTTCCGGGAAATTTTGCCACATTGCCAATTGGATAAGATATATTGTTGATAAAAAAATATTAAGAAATTTTTCACAAAAAATACTTGCAAACTATGTACTTACGTAGATATGTAATATCACATACGTAAACATAAAAATAATCTATTATACCTAATCTATAATAGATTAATAATAGATTATCACATACTTATATACTACTTATAGATGTAGTCACTTCTATATTGTTCGCCAGCTAGAAATTGCACAAAGCCAGGCTCTGAGAAGATTTTTCAAAGTATCATGGTACATTAGGACGAATGACATCCTCAGGGATCTCAAGATTGATCGGATCAAAAAATACATTAAGGATACAGCCCTGAAATTACTTATGAAAACTGACAGACATACCAACTCAGAATGGTTACAGACTCCTGGTGGTTACCGCCACCTTTCATACATGAAAAACAATACGACACTCATACTGGTGTTCACTTAGAGGAAGTAACAGCCATTATCGGTCGCTATTTAGTTGATGAATTCTATGGAAAAAGACTATTCAAATGTGATTGTCTAGCATGGTCAAAACGTGGTGTTCTTAAAAGGCAAACAGACTTTTACAACAAAATAAAGTAAACTCAGCTCATTTCAGCAAGTTTTCCATCTATGCTATTAACCAACATGGCTCAGTCCTTCAAATATTAACACACAGTGTAGTTAGCTGTCGAGAGATTCCTCATTAGAAATAAGTTTAACTACATATACTGAAGACTATAAAATAGGTAGCCAATTAGGCAGTGCAGTTTTCTCAAATAAACTGAAAAAGCCTTTAAAGTTCTTAAGTGCAATTTTAATCACTTTTAAGAAAATTGTTGAATATAACTTAAAGAAATGACAATGCTGTTCAATATTTCTTTTCTCTGGGCTCTCGGGTTCTCTGTAAGTTCTCGGTTCTCGGCGGGAAATACCTGGCAATTCAAAATGAATGAGCGGACCTCATTCATTTTTATTTGAGATACTCATTCGGATTAACTATATTTCAAATTTAAAACTAACAATAACAAAACTAAAAAGCAGGTTAAATGATGTTATAAATGGTTAATAAAAATATCATTTAGTACCTTCACTACATCGAAATAATGGTCAATCTTTTATAGTAGTAGCCACTCTTTCATAATAGTGGTCACTCTTTCGTAGTAGTGATCACTCTTTCATAGAAGTGGTCACTCTTTCATAGTAATGGTAATTTTTAAATAATAGTGTTCATTCTTTCATAGCAATAATCACTCCTATATAGTAATGATTACTCCTTAATAGCTGTAGTCACTCTTTCATAGTAGTTATTACTTCTTCATAGCAGTGGTCACTCCTTGATAGTAGTGATCTCTCTGTCATAGTAGTAGTTACTCCTTCATAGCAGTGGTCAGTCCACGATAGTGGAAGTAACTTCGTCAAAGTAGCAGTCACTTCTTTATAGTAATAGTCACTTCTTTATAACATAGTAGTGGTCACTTATTTATAGTAGTGGTCCCTCCTTCATAGTAAAAGATAGACTATAACAAGGTGATCAATTATTATCGTAAATAAAACTTTCCTAATCAGTTCTTATTCTCTATCATAACTCTCTATCATTTTATATTTTTTCTTTAAGTTCAGTATTGTGGGCTTCTTTAAAACTCTACAAAAAGTTAGAGGTAATACAAAATCAGTACACGACTTATTTCTGCTTAGATGTTACATGATCGATTCACTAATTTGGTGATACTATTTTTCATATTGAATATCAAAATCCCATTCCCTGCTTACACGATCAATAATCAATTGCAATGGGATAATATTTACATCTGTGATAATATATATCGTATATAGACGAATATACGATCTTCTCTCTGTTGGTATATAATTCTCACCTCTTAGTATGTTCACTGTAATATTTACATGTGAGCTTTATATTCTAGCTTTATCACTCTGTATTTTGACTATTTTTATCTTTAGGTATAGGCTTTATGTATAACTGATTTCTTAATTAAACTCGTTTAAATGAAATCATAAAATTTTTAATTTAAATAATTATGAAAATCATTTAATATACGAGTATAAAGAGTGAGTTGAATATATAGTAGCACTAAATAACTGAATTTACATTTGCTATCATCCACAACTCGTCTATATTTCAAAACATGGACAATCACCATAAAGTTTCAATTAAATTTTTATTATTTTAAATATTGCTCTTGGCAAACTGAAAATGATGACGCCAAAATGCGGATATTTAACGAAAAGTTAACCCATCTAAATCGTTTGAAAATTAAATGATATCAGCTACGTTAGCCGGCAACTCAGTTTCCGGAACTACGAAATACAACAACCAAACCACTTAGGCGAACTTAACTCAACGCTTCTCGCAACAAAAATAACAAATCCAAAATAATAGATAAAAAATTAATGAAAGGTAAAAAAAAAAGACTCCAACACTTGAGTTGACGCACTTCAACTTGAGAAACTTTTTTCTAGACTTCAAATTGCTGCTCCTATGGCAATTCCATTGTGCGTTGCCAAGACGCACTTCTTCCAACTCGCAGACTCACTTTATTGCAATTAATAATTATTTTTAAGTGTGTTTATTGTCTATTTTTATTGCTTTTGCTTTTCATACATGAGTATTTTTTAGCTTTTATATGCTCCCTTCCTTTGTTCTACAAAATCTTTGAACGAAATAAAAAATAATATTGTATAATAAAAAAAAAAAAAAAAAATAAAAAATAAATATCTTAACTTGTCTTGTCTCGAATAGAGACGTTGAGAATTATTCTGTTGATACTGATTCATAGTAGAAAGATACAAAATAATACATCGTTAATTAAATCAAAAAGCTGGCAATGACCATGAAAAAATTATGACGTTTTTGAGACAATCATACACTTCAAAATATTTTTATCAAATCGTGTTTTAAAAATAAAATTAATAATGTGAAATAAATCTTGTAAATAATTTAAACATTTATTTTATTTAATTTTTTTAGCTTTATATAATCTATGTAATTCACAAATATACTCGCTACACTTAGTGGATTTTCAATACAACGTCTTAGTTCTACTTTCTAGCAGTAATAGTAGTACATTAATACATAATCTGTGTTTCTACTCAGGTCTTAACATACCAGTTAGATTAAGGGCGCTATGCTTTACAGACGGGCAACATAAGAATTAAGACTTAATCAAAATGCTCAGATCATCAGTTCCAATTTCTATCTCGAGCCTCACAACTACAGCTAACTCATAGGCTATACGGTTTTGACACTGTTCTAGATGCAAGAATTCAAGGTTCATCATCTAAAATTTACTCGATTCTTAACCGCTGGATATATCATCGTTACCTTACCTTACAGTTTCTCCATCCTCTTCACAAGTCTAACTTATTCATTCACAACACTTTGGCTTATATATATTTAGATTTTTAAATGTAAATCCTATTAATTCCTACCCTTGCTTTTGATAATTGAATTGATTATTGGGAATTTCAGCATTATGCACTTCGTGATAAATTGGTTCAAATCATCACTACTCATTTTTAAGATGGCGTTTCATGGTGGTTTCAAATGTTTGCTTTCTACGGGAAAAAAACAGAATGTATTCACTGCAATCAGAGGGAAAGACATCTGAATAATTTTTATAGCACGATCTATGCTTATTCAAATTTACATTTGCAAGATCAGTTGTAATCGGTAATGAGATCGGATGTTTTTATTATTGAGGTTAAGGTTGTCTGTTAGCTGTGTCAATGCCAATGAAGGAAAAACTTTTAATAAAAAATTCTGCATCATAAAAGGTTGGGAAATACTAAAACGCTTTATAAAAAGTCTTTACAAAAACTGTCTTGTAGGAATTTTATTTTTTAAGTATTTTTATTTCATTCCTAAATACAATGCAAAGAATACTAAAAG